GCAATGCAAAATGTATTTTGCTACTCATAGATCGAGATCAATTCCCGATCGTATGTACTGTAGTTTTTCTCGACGTTTTTACCTTCTATGAAAAAAATTGGGAAATGACCGGAGCTGCACGCAAAAGTTGACGGCATTTCGACTGCTCTGCGCTCAAAAGCTCGAAAAGGCAAAGCTTTAAAACCCTATGCTAATCTTTTTCGGTATGAATTGCTTACAAAGTTGTACCAAAACAAACATAAGCCAATTTAAAATCTAACAGTTCTGTTTTTTTTTGCGGACCGCTACTTAACTCCAGAGCCAGACGACGCAAGTGATCCAGAACAAGTGAGCCAGAACATAAACCAAAAGTTCCTTCTTCTTGTAGCAGGCGGCGTAGCTTTGGTTCGGTGAATTTGTAGAATTGTTGCTCCTGCCACTAGTACCGTTGTTTTGGTAGAGTCGTGAGTGTGAGTGTGGATGAAAGCCTCAGTTTTTTGTTGCAAATTATATTTGTGCTGGTTGTCGCCTAACTCCGCTCTGTAGAGTCTTTGGTTGGACCGCCACTGAATAGTTTTTCAAAAGTTACCTTTTGTAGGAAAAATAATGTTTAAGTACAAACGGTGTCGTCACTGTCCATTTAAGGCTTCATAAGCTGCACTTTTTAATAAATTGTAAAATTATGTTACGATTTAAAAAATCTTTGTAAAATCGATAGGTATTGACAAAAAATATAACAGAATGTCAATTGAAAACATAAATTGTAATTTTTTGACGACACAGACGCCCACAGTCGTTGGCATTGGGCCTTCTAACGTAGAGCCTTGAAGTCCGGGTGGTCAGATTCGAAAAATATAATTCGCTTCGGATGCGTATACTACATACACATGGCTAATTTATGCTTCTAGAGATCTGAGATCTCATCGAGATAAGATAATAGAGTTCAGTAAGCGTGACAAGACCCTGAATTTAACAGAAGCTGTATAAGAATCTCAAGAATCAGCTTAACCCCAATTGGTATTTCTTCCTGAGTTCCTGAGAGTCGTAGAGTAAAAGGGTATATTAGATTTGTTGAAAAATAGGTAACAGGTAGAAGAACACGTTTCCGACCCTATAAAGCATAGCGATGAATAGCGAAGACGATTGAGCCATGAACGTCTGTCTGTCCGTATGAACACTGAGATCTCAGGAACGATAAGATATACAAAATTCAGATTAACCAAAAAGATTCTTGAGGTTGAAGCTCAAAAGACGGTTTTCGCATTTTTTAGAATTATTAGATTTCTCGGTAATTGTAAGTGATAGAAAGTTTGGATTAAGCATGTGGGTTTTCTCCCAATGCGAATTGTTTTTTCCGATCAAGCCACGCCCTTTCTAACGCCCACAAAACGCAAAAACCAATCTCGGAAACTATAGGTGCTTCAAAATTGTGCTGAAAAATACGTATATTATATTATATATTATTATATTATAATATAATATACGTATATACGCTATATTCATGTTAAATTATTGGGATTTCCTTCCTTCCTTTCATGTACAATTATTCGGTCAATTCTCAATGACCTGCTCATGCTATGCATCTGAAGACACCCGAAATACTCAGATCAGTTAAAGACACCCGAATCACTCATCCCGAAACACGGGTGTTTCAAACACTCCCTTCCTTTGCTGTAAGTGTTTTGGGTGTCTGTGCAATAGAATCAAGTGCATAGAATTGAGTGGGTAACTAAGAAGGAAATACACAAAACACCCAGAGCGATCTGTGCGTTCGGGTGTGTTGCTTTTTTCTGAGTGCGAGAAAGACTCAAAATGTATAAGTGTGATTCGGGGGCCGAAAAAAGACGCCCTTGACGTTCTCTGCTCAACATGCTTCCTTCGATTTCTACGACATGTTCAACAAGGTGGTGGTAGTGGGAACAAACAAGGGCTTAGCAAAAATGGACAATTTTAAGCATCTTCGTTCCTGCTCGCACGGCGCAGAGATGGACATAATTCGTTCCCTGGAGCCTACTAAAAGGAATTATGGCAAGGCCTTGGAATTATTGACTTTGCGCTTTTATAATAATTTGTTGTTGTGCATTGCATTTCCAGACAGAAATTACCAGGTGTTGGAAAAATGCGCCCTTTATACTATGGCAACTACGCAGAAAATTTTTGACGGCGCTTTATCATCTATATCATCTTCATCTATACGAAGCTGGACGACCGAAACCAGGAGAGATTAGAGGAGGGTTTGCCCGCCAAGGTGCTGACAAAATTTGTTTACATTACTTACGGAAGGAACACAGCTTACGGCAATACACGTCTGCCAACTGTAAGAACTGCCATCGAAGCATATTTTGCATATGCAATCGAATTCCCCTCCGCAGCTTGTCCATTAAATGCCTTCCCAAAACACTGTAGATTTGCGCGAAATAATACCGAATAAGTGTTGCTTGCTTCCGCTATAGTAAAGGTTGTTTTTAAGAGGTTTAGAAAATTAAATTGCAATAAAACAATGATAGATTTTTGATTGACATGGAATTTTTTTTATTCGAAAGATAATCTTATGGAATTATATTTTAAATAAGCTCGCTACGGCTGGCTCGGATATAGTCCAATTTGGACGTCCAATTTTCGTTGGTGTAACGATGGTGCTTTGACCTACACTTAAGGGTGAGCTTCACCCCAAATGGGGCAGTTTTGTTTGCTGACGTAGCCATTCAATCAGAATTGCGCTAATTGCTAAACAAAATTCGCTTATGAAAATCGGAACAGTGGCAATCTCGTATTAGGCCCATTCGACGAACCTGCGCCTTGCTTGATGATCATTTGGCTTCAATTCAATACGTATTCGAAACAGAACAATTATTTTTGAAATAAAATTGCACCATCTTGAACCATAATGCCAACTTAAAGTTCTCTACCTCTAAAAAAAACCCTATATATGTCAAAAACTGCTCTGGTGTATTTGTACGATGCTGATCCTTACTCGATCCGTCCTCTCAAGTTAACTTCGTCACCTCTAAAACTTTTAAAATTGGAAACAATTCACAACGTCATCGGATACAAACGTGTAGTTATTGGGCTCCGGAAAAAAGTATCTAATAAAATCATAAAAGTGCTGTGACAGGTTCAATAAATCTACAATACTAAAGACTAAAAGACTTAATTATTTATTTCATAACAACATAAAACCTAAAACTCTTACTAAATCAACCTTGATTACAATGAGTCAAAACAACGTTCGCATCCAACGGCAACGTGAGTAAGACGAGAGACGGCGTTCGCGTAAGCGTAAAACGGTTTCCTGCCAAAATTTGTTTCGATTTTTCAGAAAATTCTAATGATCGTGCGTTCCCACGTTTTAAGTTCGGGGCTAAATTAGGTAAAAATTTACATCTGAAGTCGCAGTACAAAACCTTTAATAAGGAATACCTTAACCTTGGCCACATGACTTTAGGCATCTAAAAATTCGGCAACGCATCATTACTATCTGCTACAACATAGCAAACCATTGGATAGCCATTGCTCCAACGAGCCAGCAAAAAGGAGTAGATGTGTCGGATCGGCAAAAGACTTTGAAGTTTCACTACGGAACGTATGTTTCAAAGGCGTTGGGCCTAGCTGGGGATACTCTATCGGGTAACTTGCTCTTCATTTTTTCAAGCGAGTGAACAGAGCAGCCCATAACTAAGCGCAGCATTCTTTCGGCAATCTTTTGAGTCTTTTATCCGCTTGGCTTAATAGCTCTGATTATCACCAAGATAAAGATTTTTATGCAGATCTTCTGGAAGGATAAGGTTGACGGGGATGAGTCCTTACCGCCATCTTTGCTCTTGTCACAGATTGCAACTGTTGCATTTTTAAAACTTCCTCGCGTCGTTTAACAGTATAGCTCATCTTGCAAAATTGATGGATTTTGTTATGCCAGGTGGAACTGGCTGCACAACCACATCTTCATCCTCGTTGGCAGTGCTGGCGATGGCACGTGAAAGCAAAAGTACTGGTATTGGTGGTGTCACCAACACTCCCTCCTCCTTCTTATGATAATCTTCGTCGTCGTCTTCATCTTCATTTTGTCGAGAATCTGCTCTTCTGACCAGAGTTCAAGTAGAAGAATCAGTCATGGCCAGCAAAGTCCTCATCAAGTAGAACAAATTACTCCCCTTGCGATGGCGCCTCGGCGAAAGCACCATCTCCGGTGATGGTAGTGTCGATCGAGTAGATCTGCACTAGCTCTGGACTTTGCAAGCGGGCAACAAGGAAATTAGCTATCTGACCTCTTGAAGTGTGGCTGTTCCAACGGGGGGAGTATGTCGGGAGCAGCCATCTAGCTAATACCAAAACAAAAACAAGTGTATGCTTAATAATCTATTTATCTGGAGACAAGCTCGGCTCGTTTTAATATAAATTATAAATTATTTATAATAAGGGTGGCATAAATTAATACCGTTCTCAAAATATACCCAATAAACCAACAAATTAATAAATAATGAAATATGAAAATAAAATAAATAAAATAATCATTGTACACAAGTACTCAAACCATATACGTTTAAGATATATAATTCGTTTTCGTATACCGTAGCTCTTAGTGTTTATGCTTTTTATTCCTAAGAAGTGCCAGTTCTATACCTATTTCGATATTTTGAATTTGAGTGGACTTATCGTTTTCGGGTTAGCGTCGTAAAGGTATAGGTTTGGTTCCACTCTGCTCGGGACCAAAAACAATTGAATGGCCGAATAATTCCTATCATCTCCATATCTATGGTGGAGTAGCGTGTTTCCGTGTCGGTTTAGTTAGAGGCAGATATGTTCCACTATTGTTCCTAAAACATTTTCCATAACCCGATGAAAGGTCTCTGGAGCTTATCTCAACGAGAATGACTCTTTTGAGAACTCGTGATGACCCTATTTATCTTCTTAATAGACAGCGGAGAGTTGATTGTTAAATTATTTATTAAATTCCAAACAAACTATATTTAAAATTTCATTATTGAACTAATTGATAACAATCTTCGTAATTTATTTTTAAGGTTTGCTTTTGGTTCCAAACGGCGAAACATTAGGATATTGCTTCGGAGATGGAAATGCATTTTCGGAAGATGCTTTTACTAAAATCGACAGTTCAAAAAATATAACATATATTCATGATTCGTCATCGAAGTCTTCCCATTCCTGGGGAATATTTTTCACTGTATTGGGGACTGTTCTTCTCGACTTTGACGCTGATGCATGTCAAAGTCCGGCACGAGCTTATTTGTTAGACGTATGCGTACCAAAAGATCATGCAAGAGGCCTGTCGACATTTACTATAATGGCTGGCTTAGGAGGATTTTTTGGGTATTCGATGGGAGGCTTAAACTGGGACGAAACAGAAATCGGTAAGATCAACACAATATTAATTTCTTTTTGCTTAAAATATATTTTTAGGACGGAGATTGGGTGGACACGTAAAGGCCGTCTTCTCAATAATAACGATTATTTTTGTTACATGTGTGACATTAACACTAACAAGTTTTTCGGAAATTCCTCTTTGGGTTCTAGCAGACTCAAGTCAATGCGGCGGCGAAAAGTTAAAAGCAATATTAAAATCATACGGTGCCTGTGAAGGCGATAATGACAAAAATCAAATTGAGGAAGGAAATAAACAGGTAATTTATAATATGTTTTTATGTTTAAAAGTTTTAGATGGTCATTCCCCTGTTAAGCAATATTAAAAGATCCTGAATATTTAACAATATTTCATAATTTTTATATACCCATTTTGTGGAAAAACATGCATTAGGGAGTTTATTCCATTCTTCCGGGCATCACATAACTTAAAAAAACCATCAATCAGTTACCATACTTTTGTTAAGCTCAACTTAATCTGCAAAAATGTCTGAAATAATTTGATTAGGGAGCGACACCGATGCAAGCAAAACAAATTTAATTTGACATGTTAAAAAATAAAGACATTGATATTAAAAATATTTGTTCTAACTTCAGAATGCTTAAATACGAAACAGCTAAAAACTAATTATTTTTGCCCTTATGGACAATAAACTAGACAAACAACCGAATTAAAAAAAAACAAAAGCCGAGTGGTGCGACTATAAGATACCCGTTACTCTTTTATTTATTCATTTTGCTTCATTTGCTTCGTTTCCCAAAGCGCCTCCTAATGTCGGAGAAACCATTTTGAGTAACTGATAGTGACGTTACTGCCCATATGAGGCCTTATAACATAAATTTCTTCAAAAATATCGAAGTAATGTTCCGATTTAAAAAAAACAGTGGTAAATCGATAGATATTAACAGAAATAAGTTATACAAGGTCAAACGAAGGCATTCATAATATTATAGACGCCACAGTGTTCCGCGTTTTGTGGGCGTTAGAGTGAGCGTGGCCAGATGAAAACTAGGAGCAAGTTGCGGTGGATATCTCTTAAATATGGTATGTATTCTTAAGCACAACTATCTACCTCTTATAGTTCCCAAAATTTTTGCATAGTTGGTTTTTCGCATTGTGGGCATCATAAAAACTTACATGCTTAATCTTTTCTTTTCTATCATTTATAGTTTCCGAGATATCAGCTTTTCTATAAAATGCTCTTTTGAGCTTGGTGGGCGTGAGAGTGGGTGTGGACGGATAGTACCACCATAATATGCGCTGGCATCCAAAGATTATACATACTAAATTTCTAGCTTTAATAATTCATGAGATTTAAGCGATTTTAGTTTTCGTGATTTGTGGGCGTTGGACTGGGCGTGACAGGGTGCTGAAATAAACTTGCGGTGCGTATGGACCTTAAGAATGCTTAATCTCAACTTTGTATCTCTTATTGTTCCTGAGATCTCAGTTCATACGGCCGGACGGACAGACGGACTTTATAGGGTCGGAAACGCTTCCTTTTACCTGTTACATACTTTTCAACGAATCTAATATACCCTTTTACTCTACGAGTAACGGGTATAAATAGCCCTAAACCCCATAGTGGCTGGGAAGTTATATACTCACCTCCTTAAATTTCATACAATCCGATTATTTATAAACATTTTGTTGGTCTAACACCAATTTGTATGGGTCACAGGGAAAAATGTCGGTAAATAGTGTGAAAAAATGTAATCTAAAAATACAGGTCTAATCAAGTACAATCAGAGTCTTCAGGCTGGAGCTTACAGTTACCAGTTACCACAAAACCCCGATTTTCATATTGTTGGGAGCAATCGTTTTTAAAAATAAAATAACTGTTTGCTATGTGGTCTGCATCACTGACAACAACAATATGAATGCTGAAATTTCTGTTTTCCATTCAGATAAGCCATGATAAGCGCATTAGAGACTTCGCTATCTCGGCTTATCTCCCTATTCGTATATCGTTTTTAAAACGCAGTCGCAATGCTACTAAAATAAAACATAAAAACTAAAACTTCTCGTCTTTTCTTTAACACCGTTCTGGCATTGCATTTTCTGTTAATCATAAATTTGATTAAATTGTAAATTATTGCTCCCTCAAACCATTGGTGACCCCAACGTAATCGTGAACGTGTGTTAGAGCTAAGCAATTACTAAATATCGATTTAATAATTATAATCACATTTAATAATTATAATTAATTTCAGATTAATAATTACATTTCGAAACTTTCACATAACGCCGAGCACTATATCATTTTCGTTGCCAATTAGAGATTATTGCTGTTTGTTTTCGGTTTTGTTCTGCCCTCTTATTCTATTCCCGCTTTCTTCAGCCTTAGTCCAGTGCATCGAAAAATTCGTGTAGTATTATTGCCCAAAATTAGTATGACATGGCGGAAAACGATAAAATACTACCACATATCTCATCTTTAGTTTATGTAACTTTGCCCAAAACATAATCTGTAGTCTTATCGCATAATAATACCGAATACGTGTTGCTTTCTACCGCCATACTAAATGTCAAATGTCTGGAGTATTCGTACCATGGCGGATCTCAATTGATTCGGCCTCGCAAGTTAACTTTGTCACCTCAGCGTATTGGGGCAAGTGCATTCTTCGAGCTCCTTTGCGTTGCACGAATCCGTTTAGGAATCCAATTACACATACTGTAGATAACCAGACATGGCTGGTGTTTAAGGAGGGCATTAATTTATGCCACCTGTTTATAAATAATTTATACTTTATAATTATACAATATAATACGGTTCCGTGAACGGTGCAAAAGGAAAGGCCGAGAGATTTTTTCTACGATTTATTTTAGATGCGTATTGACAGCGATAGAGAACGAAAGGTAATGGGTCGAGCCGAGCCATCGGCGATCGGCGCTTGTCTCTGCTTGTCTTACAGATAAAAAAGATAATTCAGCATACAGTGATGCTAAATCATATTGTATGCCATGATTTTGGTATTAGCTAAATGACTGCTCCCAACAGCTGGATCATCTCATTGTGTCTAAAGGTAGAAGCCTCTGAGCACTCATCTTAAATTTCTTTAATTCAGGAACCCTGCACTCAGATTGAGTCAGAGTTCATTTTTTAAACACTAAAGAGATATTGGGAAATCTATTTGATCGTGTTCTCCTTCGGTTTAATGTACTCGAGGCAAAATTAGGTATAAATTTAGATCTGAAGTAGCAGTACACAACCTTTATAAAGGAATACCTCAACGCCATTGCGTGAAAAACTGGGTAGCACAACTTCGGGATATTATCTGAATGATACGCAGGTCTCTCAATTCAACCAAAAATCTTCACAAGCTTACTTCGCTTTCGATTTTTTTCGATGTATCAAGTGTACTCGCTTAATACTGTAATTATGATATTCGTGCAATACAGTAGCTATATAGGATAGCTGAATGAAATTGATTAGTAGAAGCTCCTTAGTAGTCAGGATCATACACGCTTACATTTATGTGAATGATCTAGTTTCATGAAGAGACAGTATTTAAGAGGTTGTTGAAATACGTCAACAAGCTAGGAACCTCTTGGACTAGTTAATGATGCTCCAACGAAGCTGTTGCGCTAGAAGAAGTAGATGTGTCGGATCTGGAGGAACTATAAGAGATACAATGTTGATATTAAGCGGACAGATTCTTGACGTCCCTACGCAGAGCAAGTATTTCTCAGAAACAATAAGAGCTAGAATGTTGGGCTCTGTCGTTCTCTTGAGATAGCAACGCATTTTAAGGTGAAACCACTATCCGGCGACACCACTCTTACGCCCAACACGCTCGCAAGACGGTCTTCGCTTTTTGTAGAAACTCTCAGAGCTCTGTAACTATAAGTTTTAAAAAAGCAACGGTTGCAATCTTTGAAAAGAGCAAAGCAACATCCGTTCCGAAGTGAAACTTCAAAGTCTTTTGCCGATCCGACACCTCTACTCCTTTTTGCTGGCTCGTTGGAGCAATGGCTATCCAATGGTTTGCTATGGTGGAGCAGATAGTAATGATGCGATGAGGTCAAGGTTAAGGTATTCCTTATTAAAGGTTTTATACTGCGACTTCAGATGTAAATTTTTACCTAATTTAGCCCCGAGCTTAAAACGAGGGACCGCATATGAATTTTCTAAATCATCGAAACAAATTTTGGCAGGAAACCGTTGTACGCGTACGCCGTCTCTCGTCTTACTCACGTTGCCGTTGTGTGCAAACGTTGTTTTGACTCATTGTAATCATTATGAAATAAACAATTAAGTCTTTTAGTCTTTTCGAGTTATTGTAGATTTATTGAACCCGTCACTGCACTTTTATGATTTTATTGGATACTTTTTTCCGGAGCCCAATTGTTTCCAGTTTTCAAAGATTTAGAGGTGACGAAGTTAACTTGAGATGCCGGATTGAGTAAGGATCAGCATCGTACGAATACACCAGAGCAGTTTTTGACATATATAGGGTGTTTGTTTTAGAGATGGTGAACTTTAAGTTGGCATTATGGTTCAAGATGGTGCAATTTTATTTTTAAAATAATTGTTCTGTTTGGAATACGTATTGAATTGAAGCCAAATGATCATCAAGCAAGGCGCAGGTTCGGCGAATGGGCCTAATACGAGATTGCCACTGTTCCGATTTTCATAAGCGAATTTTGTTTAGCAATGAAGCGCAATTCTGATTGAATGGCTACGTACGTTTGCTAGCTACATTTCCTATCTGTTAGGTGGTCTACCACAGGACATTCCACGTTCTCCATCATGGGACATTAAGGTTCCGAAAATGTGGAAAACTAATCCCATTTTGTCAGCACCTTGGCGGGCAAACCCTCCTCTCATCTCTCCTGGTTTCGGTCGTCCAGCTTCGTATAGATGAAGATGATATAGATGATAAAGCGCCGTCTAGAATTCTGCGTAGTTGCCATAGTATAAAGGGCGCATTTTTCCAACACCTGGTAATTTCTGTCTGGAAATGCAATGCACAACAACAAATTATTATAAAAGCGCAAAGTCAATAATTCCAAGGGTGTGTCATAATACTTTTCAGTAGGCACCAGGGAACGAATTATGTCTATCGCTGCGCCGTGCGAGCAGTAATGACGATGCTGAAATTTGTCCATTTTTGCTAAGTCCTTGATTGTTCCATGAACATGGCGTAGAAGTCCGTCCAATACATATATGATTCCCCAAATCGCGGAAGCTGAAATTCCGGCAGTATGGCAGTTCATTCCTCGAATTGCTTTTGAAGATGGCACTGATACCATGCA